TTTTTAAAATATTTATGTTACTAATATTATATATTCTATTCTAAATTTTTTTTTCAACCAATTTCTTATTAAAATTATGAAAAAGCATGTTTGTAGAAACAATTATAACCTAATTATAAACCTAGAGTTCACAGTAACCTTATGTAACCATTATAAAACTATAGGAAACTAATGGCGATTTTATAAAACATTTTTAGAATGTTAATTCTTTGACAGTTAAAACAGTTTGAAAAAAAAAAATTAATAAATAAAAAACGTACATGGGTGAATATATTAAGATGTCCAACCAAGTGAAAATGATTATTTTTTATTTTCGGTTGTTTCATTGTTAGTCTAGTAATAACATAACATAAGTGGTTCTGCACTAATGCAAGAATTTTAAGAAATTATTCATTTAAAATATTAGAGCTTCACGGAGGTTAGGATTTCGTATGTTTTTTTAAAACATCCCTTTGTATATTTGAAATATGTTATTGTATCTTTTGACACCTTAATATTTTTTTAAATACAATAATTGTACATAAATAAAATTATAAAACAGCAACACTCTCATCTGCATATAAATTCTAACTGACCTTCAGGAATCACATGCATCTATAATTTCGTAAACAGAGGTTTTTGCTTATTTAAAATGATTAAAGCGCCATCCGTTGCACAAAATTTAAAGAAAAAACAGATTCACGGAGGATAGAATCAATTTTTGTAAAAATTATATCTTTTAATTTTTAATAATATTTTATATTTGATTCGATTGCTTTGGATGTGTTTAATTTACTTGTGAACTGATATTTTTAGTATGCTTTTACTACCTCAGATGTTTGAAAACATATAGGTTAACCTAGAAAGAGTAACATTCACGGAGGATAGGTTTTAAACTTTTAAAACAAGAGATTCACCCACATACTTTTTTATAAAATACTTTGGTACATTTGGCAACAGTGTTTTGAATCATTTAATTAGCATATTTATACTTTTTGTTAAACTAATCTGTACGGAAAATATTTGCCAAACAATGAACACGAAAGAGGAATTGCCAACTTTACTGACCTGTAATTAATTCCCCTGCTAGGTATATAGCTATATAGTCTATCGACCAGAACGTTTCGTGACATTGTTTATTTTTGTTTTATAACTACGAAAAAAGTGCTTTTTCATTGACGTAACGAGGAAAAATTATTATTTGATTAATGAGTGAAATTTGGAGTTACCATAATTTTTTAACATAAATAATTGTTTTTGGTTTTTGAATGGTTTTGTGCGTACTCTTATACCAAAACCGCGCACTCTTAGCCTTTCAATCCTCTAAAAACACAATATTCCATTGGAAATAATTCCAATAAACCCCCCCCCCCACATTTTTAAATCAATTAAATCCCACTTCCTCATTACATTCAAAACATAATTGATAATTCCATTCGATAAAATAAATCCTTTACAATAGACACCAGTAGCCAACGTCAATATCAATTTACCCGCTCTCTTTCTCTCTCTTTCTTACACAAGACGTCCCATTGGTCGATTATTTTCGCTTAAGGTGGCTGCGGCACGCCCGCGTCACGCCAATGAGTCGACGGTGGGCGGAGCCAGGCGGCAACGCCTGCTTCAACTCGACGTTTTGTTGTCGTTTACGTCGTTGTTGTGTCGACGTTGTTTTGTTTGCTGCGAGGCGAGTAAATTAAGAGATATCTAAACAGTTGAGTGATTTTTATGCCGTTGCCATTCAGCGAGTATACAGAGACATTACATTGGTATGCGAGGATTTGCATAGGAATTTTTATGATTTTTTTTTTCAGGTGATAATTTTATTTAATTGGTTATTTATATATATATATATATATATTATGGGATATTTCACATCGTAAAATGTTCTTTGTTGAATTGTGTACAAATATTTTTTTAAATTGTTAATCAAAATACATACATATACATATACAACTAGGTTCGGAGTAGTTTGCTTTTGTTCGATGGGTGTAAACGCACCTTAACAATGAATTAATAAAAATCCTATTATTAGGAAAATTATATAGGTACTATATGTATAATAATATTAAATATATTTTTTTTAATTGTAAATCAAAATACTTATAAGAATAACTAAGTTCCGCATAATTAACAAAAATGCCATTATTATAAAAAAATTACATTAGTACCTACATAAAGTTCCAAGATATAGTAATTAATTCTATTTTAAAAATTAAAAACGATTAGTGCAAGCCCACCTTAATAATAAACTTTTATAACAGAAATAAGTTGTTTTAAATTGTCCATAACAAGACTCTGGGTACAGAAATTATAAACATTTTCTTGAAAAGGTATTTTTTATATACAAAGGTGAATTTACGAATTGGCACATTTGCCTTCGTTGGCTAGGTGTAAATGCACCTTAACAATGGGTTAATATTAATAAAAATGCTATTTTTACAAAAACTATTTTTGGTTTATGGCAGTTTTAGGTCATTTTAGACATTCCCAAAATATATGTATACACTTGTTAGACATACCTATTTATCTAATATGCAAAGAAAAATTTAAAAACCAACTTCTACAAACATACCTTAATAATATATTGCTATTATTACAGACATTTAAATAGAGTTCAATAGGTATAATCTTTTATACGTTCCTATTTTTTTATAAATTTATTTCATTTACATTAAAAAACATATTTTTCTAAGAAAAATTTTCTTAGAAGTATGACTTATTTTCTATTTTGACAATTTGTGAATTTGTTTTACTTCAATTTTTCTGTCATAATATGTCGTTTTCATATAAAATTTATTATAAGGATATAGGTATTCTTTAGTTTTTAAAGGTGAATTTACAATTAGAAATAATGTTAATCACAATGTTTGCTCGCCGGGTGTAAATGCATCTTTACAAGTGATATTTTTTGTCTCAAAGAGAAACCATTTTGCACGATTTTGTTGTTTTCAATGAAATTACATCACAAATTTTTTGCAGAAATTTTTCCGGTCTTATTTAGTTTTTTGTAAAATTGTAGGCAAAAAATATGAAACCTGATTTTAAAAAAGTGGACAGATATTTTTTAAATAAAAAAACATAAATCAGTTGGACAATTTTTAAGTTAATTACCTATTTAATACATACAATTACAATGTTTTTAAATTGTTTTAAATTTAACTTTAATATAATTGCAAAATTTGAATGGGTAAAATAAAATGAAAATAAAAATATAAAAAAAATATTCATCAAATTTTTATTTAAAAAATAAGTCATTGTTTGACTTTTAGATTTTAGAATTTTAGACATAGGTATCTAGGACAGTTTTTAGATAGTTTTGGATTTTTTAATAGTTCTCAGTTTTTTTTGCACATTTTTTAAATTTTCTTTCTAAAAGTTGTCAGAATTGTTAAACTCTGCTTAATAAATACATAGGTATGTCATTGTTTTTAGATGAAAATGTATTATTATTTAACATTTATTTTAATTTGTGTAGTGCCTACACTGAGAAAAAAAAATCATGTAAATTTCCGGTAATGGAGATTGATTATTTTGTTGCCTTGTTGATAACTGAAATATTCCATTTCATTATTATTTTACATGCAAAATGTAATAGCATAATTGACGTGTAACTCATTTATATTTTTTATGTAAAATAACATTTTTAATGTAATATGTTTTTAATTTCAAATGTATTTATTCATGATAACATTAACATGCCGATGCGTGGGTAGGCATGCGCGAATTCCCAGCCAATAGGCTTCTTCTCCAGTTACATATTAAATGTAATTTTGCGATTTTTACTACACTCCGAATGTAAAAAAACATTTAAACCTGTAATATTAAGACTAATAAAGTATATTTACATTTGAAATAATGCAGTAAGAAGTTATACTTGTATTTTATACATTTAGTTCGTTAAATTTACTTGTTTTATTAATAATTAATACATAACATTAGTAATTTTACAAACAAAAATGTTTATTTACTTGAAATATATAAAAATTAGACGAAAATAAAGGTAATTTTACAATTTGTCGTAAAAATGAGGAATTTATGTGGTAATAATCCTGGAACTTTACATTTAAATGTAATAATTTTTTTCAGTGTAGGTACATTTGACAATTTTTAAGTTAATTAAATTCCTTTAAAGTTTTTGTGATACTTTAGTTTATAAAAAAAATGTATAACCCATATTTTTTAAAGATTTTCATTAAAAAAACAACAAAAAACTACAGGGTAATTTTAACTTTAAAAATATAAAATCTTAAAAAAAAAATTTAATTTAATTTAAATATAATTGCAAAATTTGAACAGGAAGAATACCTAAATGGAAATAAAAATATAAAACAAACTTTTATCCGAGGGGTCAACCACCCAAAGGGAAAACGTCCAGGGATTCCCATGTATTCCCATTATATTTTATTGTATTCTTATGTATTCCTATGGTATTCCCCCTCTAAAATGTCCAGGGATTCCCAGGTGTGGGTGACCCCTCGCTTTTATCATCTAATTTTTATTTAAAAAATAAATCATTGTTTGACTTTAAAAATAACGATTTAGAACAATTTTAGACATATCCAGGTTTTTAGATGGTTTTGGATTTTTTAATAATTCTGAGAATAATATGCACATTTTATAAATTTTGTGGCCAAAAATTGTCAAATTTTACTTCTGTATACAAATTAGTATTAGTATTAGTATTAGTGACTTTAAAGTCACCCCATTTATATTACAAATGCACCCTGTTTCATTAAACCACCCAATCTATTCATACATACATACCTACCTTTTAATTTAAATCGCAAAGGGGGAAAAGCAACCCCTAATAATCAGGTACATGTAAATGGACAAGAACAAATTTTTCGTGAAATAGTAAAAAAAAAATAGTATCAGAATAAAATGGAGGAGTAATAATCAATTATGCCGCGCTATAGGAGCTCTAATACGTCAATAAATCGCACCGTTATCGGCTAAATCAACGTGTTGCTACTGCCTCTCCGTCTCGGTCTATCTTAGCACCCGTCCTCGTCTAAAAAGCGACGTTAAGCGTAAAGAAGCAGGCAGCGGGCAGACGCAGTGGGCCGATCAAGCTTGCACAGGTAGCCAACCGCGCTGCTCCAAACTCCCCAAGCCCGTCCGAGGCACGAAAACCCGCCGAAGGTGCACATTCATTGTCGCTCGCGATCGCAACCGGGTAGGCCGCAAGGTTGCGCATTGGATGCACCGTACGCGATTCCAAGTGATCATCGACTCTCCGCAGTGCTAATTTTATTGATGGTGCAAAACTTAAGATGTTGATTTCAAACGCAGGCGGTTTGGCGAGTGCTAACGATTTCAGCAGTGTGCCCGCTTTGTCGGGCTGTTGCCCCATGCCAGTGACGCCCGGGGCCCGTGCCGCGATCGTCAACTGGAAGATGGACGGCTTGCCCGCCCCCAGCTCCGCTCCCAGCTCGATGCCGCCGACGATCAACATGTCGCCAGCAGGTTTGTTCTTAGTTACCTTGTTGGACTATTTTTCTTGTAATTTTTGACTTGGTTAACCTATAGGGTCAAAATTTGTAAATAATCCAGAATAACATTTTATCAATATGTATACCAAATTTCATTAATCTAACACACCGGATACTTTATATATGGGCACTTCCAATGAGGAATTTTTTAAAGAGTTTCAAATATTTTTTTTACTTACTTTGTTGGAGTATTTTTCTTATAACTTTTGACTTGGTTAACCTAAAGGGTCAAAATTTGTAAATAATCTAGAATAACATTCTATCAATATGTACACAAAATTGTATCAATCTACCACACCGGATACTATAGGTATAGGTACTTCCAATGAGGACTTTTTTAAAGTTTAATATATTTCTTTTTAATTACTTTGTTGTAGTATTTTTCTTATAACTTTTGATTCGGTTAATCTAGAGGGTCAAAATTTGTAAATAATCTATAATAACATTCTATCAATACGTATACGAAATTTCATTAATCTAACACACCGGATACTTTATATATAGGCACTTCCAATGATGACATTTTTTAAAGAGTTTCATATATTTCTTTTTACTTACTTTGTTAAAGTATTTTTTATAACTTTTGATTTGGTTTAGCTAGAGGGTAAAAATTTGGAAATAATCTAGAATAACGTTCTAACAATATGTATCCGAAATTTTATTAATCTACCACACTGTAAACTTTATATATAGGCACTTCCAATGAGGACTTTTTTAAAAAGTTTCATATATTTCTTTTTACTTACTTTGTTCGAGTATTTTTCTTATAACTTTTGACTATGTTAAGGTAGAGGGTCAAGATTTGATAATAATCTGGAATAACATTCTATCAATATGTATACGAAATTTTATTAATCTACCACACCGGAAACTTTATATATAGGCAATTCCAATGAGGACTTTTTTTAAAGAGTTTCATATATTTCTTTTTAATTACTTTGTTGGAGTATTTTTCTTATAACTTTTGACTTGGTTAACCTAAAGGGTCAAAATTTGGAAATAATCTAGAATAACGTTCTATCAATATGTATACGAAATTTCATTAATCTACCACACCGGATACTTTATATATAGGCACTTCCAATGATGACATTTTTTAAAGAGTTTCATATATTTCTTTTTACTTACTTTGTTAAAGTATTTTTCTTATAACTTTTGATTTGGTTTAGCTAGAGGGTAAAAATTTGGAAATAATCTAGAATAACGTTCTAACAATATGTATCCGAAATTTTATTAATCTACCACACTGTAAACTTTATATATAGGCACTTCCAATGAGGACTTTTTTAAAGAGTTTCATATATTTCTTTATACATACTTTGTTGGAGTATTTTTTTTATAACTTTTGATTTGGTTAAGCTAGAGGGTCAACATTTGGAAATAATCTAGATAAACATTCTATCAATATGTATACAAAATTTTATTAATCTACCACACCAAAAACTTTATATATAGGCACTTCCAATGAGGAAATTTTTTAAAGAGTTTCATATATTTCTTTTTACTTACTTTGTTGGAGTATTTTTCTTATAACTTTTGACTTGGTTAACCTAAAGGCTCAAAAATTTGGAAATAATCTAGAATTACATTCTATCAATATGTACACAAAATTGTATTAATGGACCACACCAAAAACTTTATATATAGGCAGTTCCAATGAGGACTTTTTTAAAGAGTTTCATATATTTCTTCTTAATTACTTTGTTGGAGTATTTTTCTTATAACTTTTAACTTGCTTAAGATAGAGGGTCAAAATTTCAAAAAAATCTAGAATAACATTCTATCCATATGTATACGAAATTTTATTAATCTACCACACCGCATACTTTATATATAGGCACTTCCAATAAGGACTTTTTTAAAGAGTTTCATATATTTCTTTTTACTTACTTTGTTGGAGTATTTTTCTTATAACTTTTAATTTTCTTAAGCTAAAGGGTCAAAATTTGAAAATAATCTAAAATAACATTCTATTAATATGTACACAAAATTTTATTAATCTGCCACACCGGATACTTTATATATAGGCACTTCCAATGAGGACTTTTTTTTAAAGAGTTTCATATATTTCTTTTTGTTATAACTCTTGATTTTATAAATATTAAACTTCAAAATTTGGAAAAAATATAAAATATAATTGTCTTAAAATAGTTACCAAATCTCAATGTTCAAGCTTGTCAGATACTTAAGATATAGTCAATTCCACACAGATAAAAATTTATAAAACAAACCTATTAATCGTGTAATGATATAACGTCAAAATTTATAAAAAAGATACTGTAAAAATAATAATATATTTGTTTTAAAACAACATTACATTACATTACTCTAAGATATGGTAAATTCCAATAAGATCAAGTTAGATTGGTTTTATTAAAAATATCAAATCAAACTTCATTATATTTTAATCTTATAAAGATTTGATGTCAAAATTTGAATAAAATGTAAAATTATTCACCCTAACTGTATAAAAAAATTTACAAGTCTAGCTTGTCAGATAATTAAGATACAGTCAATTCCACACAAATGTTCAACCAAACTTCATTTTCTTACAACTTTTGATCACGTAGGTAAAGATTATAAGGCAAAATTTTGAAAACCATAGTGAAAAATAATAATTGTTTTTAAAATTATTTTTCGAATTACAAATTCTATCTTACCTAAATTATGGTTTCAATTGGATCAATTTTATCAAAAATTTTGAATAAAATCAAATATATATGGTTGTCTTAAAATATACCTATAGCAAATTTTACCATTCTAGCTGAGATATAGCCAATTCCTGAATAAATTATACAGCCAATTCCAGATCAAATTTTGTAAAAAGTTTATCCAATATTAAAGCTAAATTCCATCTTTCAGTGTTGGGTTATATTTATGTTTTTTGTAAAACACTAGGAAAGTTATAACAATATATTGTCCTAAAATTCGTGTAATTTTTTATAGGTCTATTTAAAAACGAGCAGTCTATAATAATAACTCTGGACCTAAAAAAATATCAAAAATTTATCAAAAACGTTTCTAGGATATGTGGGAGGAATATGATATGATATTTTTCTGGTCATAAAGATTGCCCCCACATATTTTTATTTTTTTTTGTTGGGAAATATGCCTACCTTTATATGACTGATTTTAAAACATGTATCAACAAGTATTATATTTTAATTTTATTATCATTATTATTTTTGTTACATACTAATTTAATTATTAATTATAATAATTATTAAAAATCTTGTACCTACTAACATAATACGTATGTTGTAAATTAACATACATCTTATATTTTAATATTTATGTGGAGAAAAATCTGTTTAGAGCAATCTATTTTCACAAAAACTTATAATTTTAAGATAAATCTTTCATTTTGCATAATTTTACATAATTGTGTTAAAGATCGCCTTCCGTCGATTAACTACTGTAGTAACATTCATATGTACATATGTATTTATCACAATTTTTTAATAAATTAAAGAATATATGTATTTGTTATTATTATACCTATTATTTATTATAATAAATAGTATAAACAAGGGCAGAATGTCAAAATTACTAACTTACATAACAAAAACTATAAAATCCTCCAAAAACACCATAAAATTTTATTATACTACTACAGTTTACCTTTAACCAAAATATTTAAAGATTTAGATAATTTATTTTTTAATTAATTAAAATTTATATCAGGAACATTATCAAAGATTATATCCGTGTTTAATATTTTATTAATTAAGAAAAAACCTTATGTTTTTATACATTGATTTGGCAAGCATAAAATTATAATCGTTATTTTATATCTATTTAATTTGAATAATTTTATCGTTTATTTATCAAAGTTTACATAAATTAACAATTGGTCTATAAAATCTGGAACAAATTAAGACATTAAAATATTAAAATCTTCTTAAAGGATAATATACGGGGTGTTTAAAAGCCAAATTACATCCATGATAATCTTTTAGATATTTTTTGTATTTTTTACTTTCAAGGTAAAAGTAATAGAGCCAAACTAGCTATACACTGAAAAAATTATTTTGTAAAATTACTATAACTATCGCGGGTTATTTTTTGCCAAATACTATCATAGTAAATTTACTAGCGTATTATATTTTTACTATTAGTTATGTAAAAATAACTGTAGTAATAACGCATTTTGTTTGTAAATTTAATAAAGTTTTGTTAAATAAACATTACAACATAAAAAGTTCTTTAAAATTCATTTGTACTTATACAATGCTTATAGTAAAATTATTAATTGGTAAGGTAAAAATACTGAATATTGTATAAAATTAACAACAGTTTGCAAAATAACATTAATAAAATGACAAAACTTTGTAAAAATAGAACATTATTTTATTTTTACCAAGATATTTCCAATATTATTGCTATTTAAATTTACTAATTATTGTGTAATTTTACCCCTAATTTTTTAGCTATAGTTAAATAGCTAAAGAAATTTGATGGTCTTCCTTCTACAAAATTAATTGACCCAAAATCATAAAACAGTTTAATTAATGCAAAATTAGTCGAATATATTCATTCGATTCACCTTACTTGGTTTTCTAAAATAAGCCATATAAACCTAATAGCCATTTGCATATTTCGGTGATTTAGTCAAAAAGATCACATAAATTAACAAGGCGTTAAATCTTATTTAAAGATAGTTAAATTGGGAGAAAAACATTAAAAAACAACTTAATATTCGGGTAATAAAATCGTTTATTGCTTTTATTGGCTTGAAAGACAAAATTGGTAATCTAAAGTAGATTTTTTGTTGCTTAATATAAAAGTCAGAAAAAGAACAGTGAACGTCATTTTTTAAATTATTTAAAGTGATTTGTGCACTACTACAACCCCGTATCCACATAAAATAAAATTCTCTTCGCGAGTATACTTTATTAATTGTTTAATTAACTTAAAAACTCGCCTTATAATTCAACGTATTTATTAATTACATCAAAAACTCAATTACATGAG